AATTTCAGAATTAATACTCATCGAAATTTTTTTTCTTAATTTCATTTTTTTAGTTTCTTAAAAATTGTTGATTGATTTTTCTTTACAAAGGCATGTTAACAAACTTATCATGCATTGCTGATATGTTTATTTTCTTTTTTGAACATTTTTAAAATATGGGCTTGGTCTTTAAGATTGATTTAAAAGTTTTCTTTTTAGAGCGTGACTTTATATAACTCCGCATTTTGCTTTAGCAGCATAAGCTGCATTTTTATTAGGATTGGCACTAAAATGCAAAATTTATTCGAATAAAACCCATAACGAAATCTGAACATTTGGATGATATTTTGACTTCCTTACCACGCTATTTTATAAAACGCTGATTATCCTGTTGATGGGATTAGTGACGCAACAGCTTTTAAACTATAACTATAAGTTAATATAATGCTTTTTAACCATTTTTTTAAATAGTGATTAAAAATTTACATTAAAATTGATAATTTCTAAAAAACCTCGCCTTAAAGCTTAATTTCATTGTATTAATTAAACTTTTTTAGATTTTAGTTCAGTGACACAACCTAATTTTTGCAGATGTGTATGTGACAAAAAAACACTTGAATTATTTCTAAAGAGTAAAAGTTTTTTTACTCAAGACATAAATAATCTCAAAGATTCTTTTTAAACAAAAATATGGGTATGTTTTTTTAAAATAATGCAATAAATTGCCCTCAAATTTTACTCACTTTTTCAAATAATAAAAAGAAAAAACAGTTGCTAAAATTCATCAAATTTTTTGAAAAAAGAAATTTTTAAAAACAAAATTCATCTCTTCAATAGTGGAAATAGTCATATATATATATGCGCTGAAAAAATTGGTTTATTAATAATTACAGATAATTATGTTGAAAATAAATAACTTTGACACATTTATCTTTACTAACATTTTTATATTAGCAAAACGCTTTTAAATAAAGTAGGGTATTACCACTCCAGTGATTCAAAAAAAATGAAATTTAAAAACAAATATTTTTTCAATTTGGAAAACGGAATTCAAAAGAAAATAGGTGATATTTTGATTATCGAAAAGAAAAATTATAGGAGCAGGGCTCAATTTAACGGTCAGACATCGCTGCCCCCTTCAATTTTTTTAAAATCTGATTTATGGGGGCAACCAACCATTGTTCATTTTAACTAAAACTATCAACAATGGTTTGTTGCCCTCGTCTAGCAGGTCTCAAAAATGGACTTTTTTTAAATTGACTTAAATTGAGCCCTGTAGAAGACAAGTTTTTCTTCATGTTTTAATTATTCAAACGCAATAAATAAATAAAAATTTTCAAGACAAAAAACTAAAATTCTTATTACATGTGATTTTGATATTTAAAGTTGATTTTATGGTCCAGATTTTTTGATTCTTAAAGATAGTGATATCTTTTAATATTTCATTATCATAAATTGCAATTAAGTATCTTGGAGGTATCTTAAATTTTATGTCAAAATGAACGGCGTTTTGAATTTCTCTGCGTGATTTAAAGAATCTAATTATTTTGAAAAAGAAGTGTTAAAAAGTTTCAATGAAACTGATTTTTTTTACTACTGATTTTTTTAGGCTACTGAATTGGGCGTCCTATGATTCAACGGAATCTCTAATTTCAATTTAGAACCGAATATGAGAAATTTATTACACAACCGAAAATATTTACAAAAAAAATTAAAACCGAAAAAATTTCAATCGAATTTTCGATTGAAAGTCATTAATGATTTTAGAACCGAAAAAATTTCAATCGAATTTTCGATCGAAAGTCATTAATGATTTTAGAACCGAAAAAATTTCGATCGAATTTTCGATCGAAAGTCATTAATGATTTTAGAACCCAATTTCATTAAAATGGTTTACAACCGAAAAGTTACATTTAATTAATTACAATTAAGTGAGCGTTTATAGAAAACGATGAGGGAAAACAAAGAATAATGAATGAAAAGGTTGCTGACCCATACCAAACTATCAGTCGATGTAGCAGCACTCCACTGCAAGTCAGGCTATTTGTCAGTCAATGTATGTACTGAAGCCCCCAGCAGCAGGCTATTTGACGTTAGGTGAGTATGACATCATCATGCTCACCTAACTCAGCAGTATAAGATATATGTATATATATTTTAAAGAAATTTTAATTGTTTATTTTATTGTAAAACGACTAACTGAAAAAAAAAAAAAAATAGATTAAAAAAAGAAAGGATTTTGTAATTCGATCCAAATTTTTTCGGTTGTAAAATTCGGTTTAAAAACTTTCGGTGCAAGAAAAGATTTTGTAATTCGATCCTGCAATGAAAGTATACTTTTCGGTTCTAAAATTTTCGGTTGTGAAATATTTCGGTGATATTTTCGAGGATAAATATTTTCGGCTCTATCATGTGACACGACTGAATTGAATAGCAAAAGTATTTTTTTTCTACTATGACATTTTAGCTTTGTTTTATTGCATCATGCACAGACATATCACACACGGACAAATATTCATTCATGCATGTTAATTAGTTTCTTTAACGTTTGAATTGCATATTTGTTGAATAATTAGTTTGAGTACAATTTAGTCAGATTGAAAATAGTTGCTTAAAAGTTTAGAATTAAAATGAACAAAGTTAAGCATTCAATAGTTGAGAAAAAATTTAGAAAGAAACATCCAGAATATCAGATTGCTGAAACTAATTGAATTAAAAATAAATAAGCTAACATGAGCGACAAGGAAAAGGAGGAAGTATGTTGAAAAGATCGCCAAAGAAAGAAGTAAAAGTGAAAGGGGAACCAATCTACAATCTATTTTGAATTGTCTTTTTTATCTCCGTAGAGTTTTGGAAAGGCAATTAATAGAATTAATTTGACATTACCTGCCAATTCAAACAAAAGAAAATACTTTTTGAATGAAGTTTGTTAAGGTGAAAATATACAACTTCTGATATTTCAGAATCAGGCCTTGACTTTGCCGGTTTGGACGATGTTGACTGACTTAGCTGGATGGACAATTGCAAAGTTCTTGATTTTTATTTGTGAGAATATCAGTAGAATGGCTCCAGGACACAAAAATGTTGCTATTAATAAGAAAACAAAAGTGAAGGTATGACACATCGTTTATATGTAGGAATCGCATTTTATTTAATAAGGTTTTAAGTTTTTGTTAACAATTTTTGTTTTCTTTTAGAAACAAATTCGTCATATGCTGATGAAATTAGGAGAAGCACATTTACTATTTAAAAGTGAGCATATTAATTTAAAAGTGAAGAAATCTAAATTTTACGATCTGCGACCATTTTATGTCAAGCTAGTAAACAATTTTCCCCACAATATTTCCCTTTCCCAAGAAAATTTCAGGTTGTTACAAATGCCCTTCAAAAAAATTTAATATTATATCAGACATAGTTGACATATGTGTGTAATCAAAACAACCAATCTGCAATGTTTGTCGAATGTAAAGCAAACTGTGGGTTGGCAAAGTTTGATGAATATGTATCTAATGCTGGTAGAGCAAAGACATACTTTAAGAAAATAGGGTTCATTTATTCATTTACTTATTTATTGCTATTTTCTGTTCTGTGCGCGACTCCATTAAAAAAATTAATTTATTCTATAATGAAGTAAGCCATAGCTAACATACTTTGTATAGGTAATATATACATAGGTATCAATTAAATAAATGTAAGTCTGTGATTAAAAATTGCATTATTGTCTTTTTAATAAACTTTATATAAGAATCATTAAAGAATCATTTCATTTTTCTTTGCGTGTAAATGTCGCAATAGTTTGAAAAATCATTTTCAAGACACCATACTCTAGCTAGAAATAATTGATGACTGCTATTTCTCATCAAAAATATATTAAATATAAGTCGTAGTATAATATTTCACTTAAAATACTCACAAGCAATTTATTTTCATAAAAATAACTACATGAAATTGACAAATTCACAAAATCGATGTGTGACTTCCGTGCGTGATCATTAATGAACTGTATTTAAACAACTGTTGTGACTCTATAATCAGGAAATCTTTACTAATTTTTAAAACATTATTTTAAAAAAAAGTATACCGTTGAAAGGGTATTTTTTTTTTTTTCTAAAGTTTATTTATCTAGTAGCTAAAATGTAAGTTTTTTTTTCTTTGATTTCGCTTCTAACTTAATTCATTCTTTGTTAACATTACTAATGTATATACCAATTTTATTTTTATGAAAATAATAGACAAAAAATATTCGAATTTCCATGTGCGATTTTTTGGAAATATATATATATATATATATATATATATATATATATATATATATATATATATATATATATATATATATATATACATATATATATATATATATATATATATATATATATATATATATATATATATATATACATATATATATGTATATATATATGTATATATATATATATGTATATCTATATATATATATATATATATATATATATATATATATATATATATATATATATATATATATATATATATATATATATATATATATATATATATATATATATATATATATATATATATATATATGTATATATATATATAAAATCAGATAAATATTTCATATATCACACTTTTCATAAACTGGAAGTATGACAATTATTAAAATAAATAGTTGTTTTAACAATTAAAAAATGTGGTAGGTTTTGTAGTGGTAGAGTGTTTGCTTCATAAGAGAGAAGTTTTTGAGTTTAAACTCCACCACATTTCTGGTAGTACTGTGTAACCACAATAAAGTAGCCTCCTTGATTGCATGGCCAACAACACGGGTTTTAAAGTGGAGGGGCACAATCGTCACTTTCTAAAAAAAGTCCTCTACATCAAGAATTTTCTCATAAAGATGTATGGTCATTGTTAATAATCTTTTTTTATGTTTAAGAACAGAACACTTATCCTAATTTTAATTAGATTTCACACTGAAATCTACCTTTCCTGTTACATTTTACCAATGTTTGTTTGAGTAAAAAAGAATAAACACTTACCCACAAAGGTATGTTAGGCAGTTTTGATAAATCAAAGGGCATTTTTAATTTTTCTCTAAAAAACAATTAGGTAAAAAATTTCTTATGCAACATAAAAGAAATACTCTGGAAAAATATCAATGCTCTTGGAAAAAATCTTGAAGTGCTCAGAGACCTTTGAAAATTTAATGGGTCCTTAATATTATTAAAAGAAAAGTTTTTCAAAAGTATCTCATGATGGGTCTCAAATTATAGCGAAATTATATAAAAAATGAAAAAATTATATAAAAAATGAAAAAAAATAATTATTTTACAAAAAAATTACTTTTGATTTTACTGCATAAAAGATGAGGTATTTTAACTAAAAATATTATATTCAAATGAAGAGAAATTATATAAAAATTCTAAAAATAATAATCATTCTATATAAAACAAATTTAAAAAAAATATTAGGAAAAAAATTTGCAAAAATCCACGTTATTTTTTCTAAATAAAAAATTGGCATTTTTGCAAGTTTTTTTCCTAATATATATATATTTTTTATTTGATTTATATAAAATCATTATTATTTTTTGAATCTTTATTTAATTTTTCTTCATTGGAGACCCAACATGACATACTTTTGAAAAAACTTTTTTTAATAATATGGGGGAACCATTAAATCTTTAAAGGTCTTGGGGCACCTCAAGATAATTTCCTAAAGTATTGATATTTTTCCAGAGTTTTTCTTATATAAATTTAGCACACCCAGGCTAAAGAACTCTAAAAAAATTAAAATTCACCGCACCCTACTAAATTGCTATATATATATATATATATATATATATATATATATATATATATATATATATATATATATATATATATATATATATATATATATATATATATATATATATATATATATATATATATATATATATATATATATATATATATATATATATATATATATATATATATATATATATATATATATATATATATATATATATATATATATATATATATATATATATATATATATATATATATATATATATATATATATATATATATATATATATATATATATATATATATATATATATATATATATATATATATATATATATATTATATATTTTATATATTATATAAAAAAAAAAAAAAAAAAAATCTAAATTTAAAGTAAATATGAATAATGACAAATAATTTTAATAATAATCTTTCTTATTCTATTAATGACTTCATCGATTACTATAACAAAAAAGTTTGCAAATCTTATAATTGTTTTAGCTATATAAAATCAGACAATGATAATAAAAATAAATTAAAAAAAAGCTAACAATCGCAGGCGATAAAGCATTTTTAAAACTTTTAAGGAATAAATAAAATTAAACATTTATATGCAATATGTTTGTCTTGTGGGTTTTATAAAAGTCACTTGCTTCTGCTTTTCGGTTCTTATGGAATCATAAGCGCAGAAAAGCTCTGGAACGGTAATTGATGAAGTTTGAATTTTAGAACTTTGATACCTTTGATAAATAGGTAATTAAATAAATAAATTAGTAAAAAATTCCGAAAACGACGATTGATTAAAATGTTTACATTTTAGTATTTTATACTTTCATTTACGCTTACGTAATGCTGTTAAGATTACGTAGTGTTGTTAGAGATCCACCAATAGAGAAAAAAATTTAGTGTTCGTAGGTTAAAATTAATTATTAGATTTTAATTTTTTTGTTTTTTGTCTTTGTTTGGTAAACAATTAGACATTATTTATAATGCCCGAGCAGTTTAAGAAGCATTTTAAAGACTACAAAATTTTCCTACAATTTTTATAATGCTTTTTAAATTGCATGTTCAAGCTATCATCCCTGCATGCATCATCATGTATCATCCTTGTACGCCCCCACGCTATCATCCTTGCATGTCACCACGCTATCATCCCTGCATGTTCACGCTATCAGTCAATTATCGTCGAAAATCGACTGATAGCGTGAACATGTAGGGTACATCGACTGAAATTTTTGTTTGGTCTTAATAACGTACCATTTTAATGACGTAAAATTCTATTGTTTCAGGGAAATGTTTATCCAAATAGGAATATCCCTCAGAAACAAAGAATTTGTGGTTTGAACCTCTCTAGGCAAGTTCGCGACATCGGTTAGGAAGAAGACGTGAACTTCCTATTAAATGTTCTTCCGCGGTGTTCTGTAATAAAGCCGTATAACAGACTTCTTGAGGCGCATAAAAAATTAAATATTAATTCCAAAGTACCTTACGCTACAGGAAAAAAAAAACTTTTTTTAGAACACAAACTCTACACTATTTTTAAAATCTTTATTATTTAGGGTCAGTGCTGCGGTTAATGGATTAAAGAACCCCATTCTCTTCCAAACCTGTTATTAGGGGTCAAGATCTAAAAAAATTTCTACTAGGTATTTCTTAAAAAAAAGGTCATAATAAACAATGCCCATTGTTTACATTCCATTAATTTTCATATTATAAAAAAAAATGCATCTCACAAATCGGTAAATATACAACATTTTCAAAATTTTCAACATTACAACATATACAACATTTTCAAAAATAACAATTGTAAAAAGCTAATAAACAAAAAATACTAATAAAAAAAAAACTTAGTGTAAAATAAAATAATAAAACAAAATTGACAGTTTCACAAGTCGTTTTTCATAATAAAATGAATACACAACTTCATAAAAAGTATAAAACTGTTATAAATAATGTAAACGTAAGATTATAAAATAATGTTATAAATAATGTAAATGTAGAAGAATTTAAAGAAACATTCGGATTATTTAGATTAATAAATGCAAATAAAAAAATAAAAACAAACTTAGAGTTAATTTCAAGAAAAAATATCTTAAAGAAAAGTGTAATAAAAGATAAAGACATTTATATTAAAAATATCATAGTTTATTTTCTACTGGCAGTTGTAATTCTTGTAATTCTAACTAGAGATGGGCCGATTCCAAAAAATACCGATTCCAATTCTCAATAGCGATTCCGATTCTCAATTCTGATTCTCAATTCCGATTCCAATTCTTTACTGATTCCGATTCTTTTGTAATTTTTATTATTTTAATTAAACTGATAGTGCATTTAATGTAATAATTTAACGCATTGTAAATTTAATACTTACACAGACTTTAAAAGTAAAAACATTGAAATCGGTTATATTGGTACAGGCAAGACATGGCTGACGACACTTGGGCTTTAGGGAGCACGCCCTCCCCACACTTTTTTTATCAAAAACTTTTTTTCCAAGAAATTGACCTAGAAATTAGGGGTTTTTTTTGAAATAAGGGAGTGTGTCCAAAACCCCCTCCCCCTTACTTTGAAAACCGTGTCGTCGGCCCTGTGAAATAATAGCAACTTAACTAATATCATAATAATAAATAATATACAGAATGTTTGTATAAAACTTATAATTAATAAGAAACAAATAATATAGTCATAAGTAATAATAAGTGATCAGATACACAGAATGTTGTATTTTCAGCATTTATATAAATCACAATCAATAGTAATGATAGTTAAGAAACGGCAAGCTTTTGCTCAAAAACACAAGTATTTGCACTCGTTCCGGAGTTAACCGCCTTCTTTCCGATCTCAGATAAGCCCCGCAATACTAAATAACCGCTCCGAAAACACTCTATATAGAGGCGTCCCTTAATATTTCTGTGCTAGTTTTTTCATTTTTAAGAAATTCTATTTCCTCCAGTAATCAAACACGTCTTCGTGACTTGCGAATAGAGCTGTGTACTTCTTTCAAGTACACAGCTATTTCGTCTAACATACTGCAATACGTAGTATGTATCTAAAATATTTTTTAAAAAAGCAATTTTTTTTTTTATTATTTACCTCCCAATCATCTTCCTGCTCCTAAAACTCATGTTTTTAAATCTGGGATCTAGTATTGTTGCAAAAGCATATATAGGTTTGTTCTCGCAGTCTCCGTAACGACGATGCAAAGATTCACACAGAGGTTCTTTGAAATTTCCGTAGTCCTTGATGCGATCAAGCGACATGTTAACTGCATTTATTCGGATGCGGTCACTTTCGATGAACTTGCAGTAACATGACGTCTTCAAAAACTTTTAAAGCAGCAACGAGGGGAACCAAACTGCCCTATTCTTTGGTTGACAATTCGAGCAGTTTTTAATAAATGTGGCTTTACCAACAGAATCGCATCTTTTTTTTTTAATTAAACGGTGGAGCATGTGAAAGGTGCTATTCCATTTAGTTGGCTCATCTTGAATGATGTTGTGTTTAGAAAGTCCCTAAACACAGCATCTCCTGAGATTGTATCAAAAGTTTGTGCGATTTAACCAAAAGTTTAAAGTGTCCTACTATTATTCTACATGTAGCAATTAGTAAAGAAATGCGTTCATTGTGGAGACAGCCATCTTTTACAATCAACTGAAGTGTATGGGCAAGACAAGGAATGTTTGAAAACTTCCCTACTTCCATAGCAGAGACAATATTTCTGGCATTATCTCTTACTACTACATTGAGTTTTTCAAGTAGTCAGAAACGCTCAAGTGATTCATTCATAAATTTAACAAGATTATCTGCAGTGTGGGACTCGTAAGAAAAAAGATACCACGTCAAGACAAATGTGAATTTGTTTCATATCTTCTGTGCGAAAATGTGCTGCTAGGCTTATGTAATCAACATTACCTGTGGAGTTCCACATGTTGGCAATTATACCAACATGATCAACTTTCTTTACCAAAAAGCAAAGTTTACTTGATACCTTCTGATAAATGTTAGGAATTTTAATAGCCGAAAAATGCTTTTTTGCTTGGTATCGTATATCTTGGCTCTAAAAACTGTAGTAACTTTTTGAAACCACGGTTTTCTACTATACTAACAGATTGGTTATCTGTGCATATCATTTCAGCAATAAGCTTTGTAATTTTTATTGCCTACGTATCTGTAGGTGTGATAGGCCTGGTCTTTGCAAACACTTGGTTCATTGTCGGTTGTTTAGGAGATGAAGATCTAGGTTTCATTTTTACAGAAGTAAGTGTAGAAGAAGAGCTTCTAGTATTGATCTCCGCATTCTCGGACTTAGGTCTAATACTTGTGAATACGGAT